TGCTTGATTGGAGTTGCATGTTTGTTTCATGGGTGTTTCATACTGTGTGTACAATCTTTATGACATTTCAGAACTTGGAAGAAAGAGATTTTACTTTTAAATTTGAGTATTCAACTACATAATTGCCTTCCTTGTGATTTACATATATGGATTTCATTAGTAACTAGCAATGAAACAATTTCTAAATGGCCTTAATCTTCACCAAGAAGATGAGGTTGCACGTATTTCAATGATGAAGTAAATGGGAATCATAATTTTGACAAATACTAAGGCCCTAGTTACCTGGTCTCACATTTTTTTTATTCTTTGTACTGCTAGTTGAATTTGTAGAAACAGTGTCAGAGTGCTGTATTTCCTTTTCCAACCTATAATTATTGCACATCAGTAAATGATCAACCAACATTTACACTTAAATGATATTTCATACTTCATAGCTATGTTATCACTTATGTATGTGAAAGTTATGTGCCTCTGATAATCTAAATGACATAGTATGCCTTTTTGTTTGCCTTCATAGAATATAACGTGACTGACTGCAGTATATTGTGTTGACAGTGGGTGCAGGGCTGATGCCAGTGAAGCAGCTATTATTTTGCTTCCGTCAAATATTACAGTTTTCACTCTTGATTTCTCAGGATCCGGAATCTCCGGAGGAGATCACGTGACTTTAGGGTGGAATGAAGTAAGTACTCAATATGTATTTTAAACAGATTCATCATATAACAACTGGACTACAATTCTGCTGTATTTGTTCCACGTTAGCTTTGGATTGTATGATGACTACTTTTGGCTTAAATAATTTGTATGTTGAAATGGAAGGTTTACTAATGAGGCAGCATAAGAGAGATCTTAATCATGTATATTTAATAATTGGTCCAATGAGTTTACAAAATTGAAGTTAATATATCCATTGAGGGTGATTCTTACGTTTTTCTCCATTTGTCAAAACCATATTTATGATTGTGAATGCCTTGACTTCTTTATGACATTTACCCTGCTGCCCCTTGTATATGCATGTGGTTACCATTCTGCATCATGGGAATTGACATCTGACTTTGATTGTTTTTTCAGAAGGATGACCTGAAGACTGTGGTTGATTATTTGCGAGCAGATGGAAATGTATCTTTAATTGGCTTGTGGGGCCGTTCAATGGGTGCTGTTACCAGGTTTTGCTCATTCACTTGTTACTTAATTGTAAGCTTGCATATATGAATGTAGATTTTGGAGATCTTTCCATTTCTTGTATTATAGGTTGAAGAAATTTCTAAACACAAAAAAGTGTTTATCAAGGTTTCTTGAAGATTTTTATAGCCAGTAAAATTTCTTCTGGTTATTGAAGAATTAGGACCATTTCATGAGCTTATAACTTGATGGTGCAAAGCCTCACATGGCATGTGTGGTTTTAAATTATCTAATCAATCTGTACTCTTGCTTGTATGATATATAAGATTCCCCCAAGTGTCTGCATGCAGCCAGTGTCCTCCTCAACTGTGTTGTATAATGAAATATTGGTAGCATTAAACGTGTTAGTGGAGATCTTAATGATGACCATAATAACAACAGTTGAAGAGTCCATTAGGATAAGCAACAATAAGAATTGAAGAGATTGTGGCACGTAAGGTGGATATAAGATATATTAGCATATGAACAATATATGAAAGCAGATGTACGCTCTGCATCAATAATTGGATCTTTGTTGAGTAAGCTATTACTTGAGGGTTAGCTTATCTGCTATTAACCATATACATATTTGGCAGTCTTTTGTATGGAGCTGAGGATCCTTCAATAGCAGGAATGGTTCTTGACAGTCCATTCTCTGATTTGGTTGATTTGATGATGGAATTGGTGGACACCTACAAAATTCGTTTGCCGAAGTTCACTGTAAGTAGATCCTATATGTCTGATTTTTTGGGATATTGCAACTGTATTTTGGTGCATATTGGGGAATATATTGCTATTAGTTAGAACCTTTCTGATGGTCATTATCAGTTCTCGCCTATATTGGGCAACTAAGTTTTTTTTTTTTTTTTTTTTTGTTTTTTTTATCAGTTTTAGCAGCGCACTAACTAATTGACTGCGAGGACCTATATACTCTGACCTTGACCTTTTCTTTTTGCTTATTTAGGTGAAGTTTGCAATCCAATACATGCGAAGAGCTATCCAGAAAAAAGCAAAATTTGACATAATGAAATTGAACACAATTAAGGTATTTTATCCATGAATGTTTATTTTGTTATCCTGATTCTATGACTAAACACATTAGAATAGAAAACATAAATTTACGTTCTCTGTCACAATCTTTCATACATTTGAAGTTCTCTTAATCAGTGGAGGTTTCTGGTTGACTCTATTTTTTTATTAGGTGGCAAGCTCTTGCTTTGTTCCAGTTTTGTTTGGGCATGCCATTGATGATGATTTCATACAACCCCATCATTCAGATCGTATATTTGAGGCTTATATGGTAAATATTCATAATGCGATTACCATAATTTTGGCATGATACGTACTGTGTCTCGTACATTGTTTACATGGAGTTGAAACAAATAAGAACTCTCAATTCTCTGTGACATCTAATGAGTTTAGTATTCATTACACATACCAGCTAGCTCTTAGTCTAGTGGTATTTCTCTTCCCAATTGCGGAAGAGCTCCCAAGTTTGATTCCCCTCCCCGATGATAAAAGCAAGATGTCTCCTGGGTCTACTATCATTTGATTTTCATTGTTCTGTCTTCCAAATATCCTTATGTAAATGAGAACTTTTGCAGGGAGACAAAAATATCATCAAATTTGAGGGAGATCACAATTCTCCACGACCTCAATTCTACTTTGATTCTATAAACATCTTTTTCCACAATGTCTTGCAACCCCCGGAAGATGAGGTTGGGGGAACATTTTTTGACACTCTACACAGTACCTTTGGTAAGGTAAAAAAACTGTAATTCATCTGGCTGTAAGTTTCTATTGTATTAAAATTGCTAGATTTTATGTTCACAGCCCTTCTCAAATGTTGACTGCTTTACGTGCAGGGTACTTGGAGAAGTGTGCACACTGCTGATTATGATCATGGACGTTCAACTGCTTCTGCAGGTGATTAAAGTGCATTATTGTCTCTTTAACATCGCAAGTGCACAGGCTCCTTATTTGGCGACCTCTTTCTTACTCACTGTCCTGTTGATTACTTCTTACCTGCAGAAGCAGCACCGAGCAGCGGCCAACAGGATGCCATTAGACAACTCCGGTCAAGAAGACCCATGAGTCGGATGGATGTTAGTAATTAGTTCCTTCTTATTTTTCTTGCACAAATAAAAAACTGCTGCATTAAATTTTTTTTTTTTTAAAGAGAGCAGATATTTGCAACTGTTAGAGAGGGGGGAAGGGCAGAATTTTTTTATTTTTTTGTGAATGATGGTTTAGTGTTCTGCAGGTGTATTAACTATATTTTTTTCTTTCTCTTTTGTTATCTTCTATCATTTTTCCTCAGGTTCCTTCTGGTATTTCATCTACTGATGCTCAATCTGAATCCAAGGTATTTTGCCTTTTCTCTTCTTAAACTGCTTCCAAAATCCCAAATTTTCTTCCCCGTAATTAACATTACGCACTAACATGACATATGCCTGATCACACAAAGGAAATAAAAAACCTATGTGCCACTGTAGCTGATACTTGTGACAGATTGGTACATGATGTGGCTCAGAAATTTTATGGTGCATTGGTGCCTGAGTAGTTCAAAGGCATCTTGTCTGGTTTTATCTGTTAACTAGAAACGTAACAGAGTTAAACGTCTTGACTATCCATGGTGGTGCAGGATGGAAAAAGCGATAATGGCCCATCATCTTCTGATATGATTAGCTTTGAATTTGCAAATGGCAGTCCTTGTGGGCCCCATGTTCCGACCACGATGGATGATGATCAGTATGTAGAATACCAGCTTGATGACCTGGCAGGTTTTCCAAGTGATGTTGATGAGGAAGAACGGGTGAGTCATATAATTGACCTAGATGTGGTCTGGATACAGGACATTTTTTGAATGACTGATGAATCAATTAACGTTTAACTCGTCCAAATTACCAGATGTTCATGGAAGCAGTGATTTTGTCTCTAAAAGATTTAGAAATGAGAGGCCCTCAGGCAGAAGAGCAACCACCAGGAGATACCCCGGATTCCTTAAAGTCGTCACAAAAAGATGACCAGCGGGATGATGCATCTCCTGCAGAGAAGCGAGAGCTGTTGGAGACAGAATCTACTTCCACTTCAGTTGGGCACCTTGGATCCTTGAAAACAGAATCTACTTCCACTTCAGTAAGTAAATCCCACAACTCGAGACCTGAAGATCAGTCTCGTACAAGAGTTCCATCCACAGAACCTGCGTTACAAACGCCTCTATCCATAATGGAGAATGGGAGCGCCGGGCCATCTAGCCAAAGCGATACATCAGAAAGCATCCAAAGCACTTCAGATGGTGACTTATCAGCCAAGACGACAGCCACTGTAACGGTGGTAAAAAACCCTGCAAGCAATGTCATGGATGGTTTGATACGTCGATGGGATTTTAACTTCTTTAGAAACAACCACAGCCGATAGATGACTCTTTTCCTTCCTTTATTTTTTTCGTTTCCTCCGTAGACAATATGATTGTATTTGTTTGTAACTAAAGTGTCAGGGTTCATGATTTGTAAAATGCTCATCTGGAAAAGCTAAAAACCAAACCGAAAAAAAGAAGGAAAAGAGTAGAAAGATTGCTGTGTAAAATTGTATTGATTTTTAGTTGTAACATAAAAAAAAATGGTTTCTTCTGGTTCCAGTTTCTTATTCAGTGTCCACAACACATATGAATATATTGTTTTGTTGTTCTTGGTGTTCTGATATGGGAAATTATTTTTCAATATATGTGCCATGTATAATTTTAAACGAGTGATAGCTGGGGAAGCGGAAGCGGAATCAGAATCGAACTCGAGACCTTGGGTGCAAGGTTGAATGTTCTTAATTAAGCGATAATCTCGTGACAGAAGGCAACAACTTCCTCAATTAAGTAGACATTTGAATGTTGATAGTATAATATAATCAAATCTACAGATTACAGTACAAAAGGCTTTATCCAAAAAATAAAAGAATTTAATTATGTGTTAAGCGAAGTGATTAACTTAAAGATTATTGGATTCCCACATATGTAATGAATTTGATTTAGTACTGCATTACGCTGCATCAGTTGACCCTTCAGCTAGCAACTCCAATGCAGTCTCTACCAATGAATGGACCGTCGTGCTATGCCGGCTCATTCCTACGGTACCAGAGAAAGTGCTGAAGCTTTCGAGCTCTGCAGTTGTGTCCAGCACAAAATCCAGCTCCTTTTCCATCTCCAAAGTCCTGAAAATGTGAACATTTTCCGGTTTGTCTCTCATCATCCAGATTGCCAGTTCTATGGCAAACCTCCTTATTCTTGGAACTTTGATTGGTGGATGCCTGTACTTCTTCAGGATCTGAACTAGTTCATTAGCCACTTCTGCCTCAGTAATTTCGGCTTTCTTAAACATGAGGCTTGATTCTTCGGGAGACAAGAATGCTAGAACCGGCGCAGCTAGTCCTACCATTACTTCCTGCAGTTTGTGTTCTTCTGAAGTAATTGCTCGAAGCACCTGCAATCCAAGCCAAATGCATAAGAAATGAGTTTTTAGTGCAGACCTGTTGTCACAGTCTGACATGTTATATTGTCAGATTGTCGATTTGGCAATCTAATATATCAGATTGTTCGACAAGAAAACATTACTCGTACGTAACATTTGTTAGTACAGAATAAAATTACAGGTAGGTAATGTGCCAAGGAAGAACTTACTGTAGGTGCTGCATTTGTAATCCCCTTTAGCTGGTGGAAACAGTTCGAGCCATTGTAGGTGCACAAATTCCTCAGAATCCTAGCAGCATGCACGCTAACCGGTCGAACCTCTAGAGCTTCAACGAGGCTTTCAAGCACCCCCAATTTTAATATCCGCTGACAGTTATTCTTGCTCTCCAAAACCAGCATAGCCAGTGCTTCTCCGGCTTTGATCCTCACTTCTTTATCATTCTTCAGCATTCCCTTGTTGAAGAAAATTTTGAATAACTCCTTAAGAACTCCACCTGTTCCCCCTACTCTCTCGGTTGCCTCCTCTTCCAGCGCCAAACTTGTTAAGATTTCAATTCCCAATTGTTGCAGCATTGGCTGTTTCTCTCCATATCTCAGAATTTCTCTGATATTGCTGATAGTGAAAACTATCTCCGAAAGATTTCTCCTCAGATTCTTTCCTGTGTTGCCGGTCGTGTTTGCAAGCCTCTTCACCAACTGGAGGGATCGTTTCAGCGTCAGTATCTGATCGTTTGGCATAACAGTCACTTCTTTTAGGATCCTCTCGTCGGCATGTGTAAAATCTATGATCTTTGGCAGGAGGCCTCTCGTGTTCCCAATCTTCCCACAGTTGTCGTGGACACGGGCAAGTTTCTTCAGAATAAGCAATCCCAAATGATTGAATGTCAAGAATCCGTAGTTTGCGTGGTCAGAAATGATCCTCTTCTCACTGATCTCATCAGCTGCACCACTTGAGTTCCTGCATGTTTGGAGCAGAGATGAGATTGATTCCATTGCGCCAGGAACTCCAGCTACTCGAATGGAGTTCTGCTTTTTGCCAGCCAGTTTCGACAAAATCTCTGCTGCTGACCGTCTGATTTCCTCCTCCTCTTGATCTGTCCAATTCAGTATCTCAACCAATCGTTCAATCACTGCAATATTAATACCAATCTTCTGCAATGTATCATCTGAATACCGCCGGTTCATTGAAAACTGTCGAAGAATTTTTGCTCCAATGAGCTGTTCGTCGGTGGAATTCGAGCCCAATAAGTCCATTCCAAAAGTAACCATATCCATCTGCAGTCCATCAAAAATGCTTCCATTCACACACCTTGAATACGCGTCATAAAAAAATCTCCTAATCGTGACCAACCCCGAAGGCCCCAAATCACACTCTTTGTTCACCTCCTCCAACAATTTACAACAGCTTATCATAAACTCACTGTAAGCTTTCTCCATGAGAAACAACAGAGCTTCCGCCAATGCTAACGAATAAAAAATACTCAGAGCAAAATGCCTGTTGCTCTTGTTAGTGCTCCCCTTTTCAACCTCTCCATAGTTGTGGTTCACGAGCTTCACGAGCGAAAGAGCCACACATGATGAGGCGGACAGGAGCTGGAGCCAGTAGAGCAGCTTACTTATATGCCTCGCGCGAAAAATCCATTGTGCACAAGGCAGGAGAGGGACTTCCGAGCTTGTCCAAGTCCGGTCTATCTTCCCCTGAAGATCAGAGTTCCGAGAAAACGCCAAATTGTCATTAGTCCTCGCAATGTCTCTGCTGTGTTGGCTTTGTTTCCTGACAGCAAGGTTCTGCACAGGCCTGAAAACTGCTCTAATGGTGTGGATCACGGAGCTTGAGCTGATCTGCAGTGCGCGAAAGCTGTTGATTCCAGTCTCGGTTATGGACCATGTGGCCTGGTGCTGCCACTCAAGCTCGTGGCTCCTGCTGAAGATTCGTGTCCCTTCTATCAGCAAAATGATTGTGATGAACCAGAAGTCGGTCTGGTCTAATTCAATGGCGAAACCGCCTAGCAGAACCACCGTTGCCCAGATGAACCCGAGGGTTCCTAGGCCGGTTGCTACCTTTTCGAGCACTGCTAGGCGGAGCGCAAAAAGGGTCAGTTTTTTCTCTGGTGCTGGAACTGGTTGTGCAGTTGGAGAAGAAACGGAGGCTGCTGCGCTGCTGTCTCTCTTCTCAATGCTGCTCTGAGGCTCGAACATTGTGCTGAACGTGGCGCTGCTTGTTTCGTTGAGGCGTCGGTGAAGAAGCTCGTCAATTTGCAAATGAATGCTTCCTTCATCTTCTCCTGAGTTATTGCGCTCAGCCATGTTGCTCCTTCTCTCTCTAACTCTCTTTCGCTCTCTTTGTTATTTTATAAGTAAATAGAGGATTAGGCGATATTAGCTCCTCAGTATTAGTTTGAAGGCCGCAAAAACACCCGCAACCTTCAAATCCGAAGCTACTCTCTCTATCTGTGTGTTGATTTTCGGTCGAATGTGATTGTGTTGCAGAAAAGGATGAGGGGTTGGTTTTATAAACAAGGAGGGAGGAAGAGGAGCTTGGGGAGCACGTTTAATCTGTGGAAATGGACAGGAAAGAGTGAACGTCATATTTTGCTTTTGTATTTTCCCTCCTCGTTTTCCTCCTAAGTTTGTTATGTTTTGTTTGGAGAATCAATTTTTGCTCTTCTTAGATTCAATGTCTCTTCCGGCGTAGCTAAATTTGTTAGAGTAATATCTTTCTCCTATTGTATTTAAGTTTGAATCTCGTAAGTTAGATAATGACTTTCTATGTTATAAAGATACCATTACTATTGCCTCTCGTACCAATTATTTAATTATGCGTGTAAGTTTTGTATATATGACATTATAGAATCTGCTATCATAATTTAGATTAATCAGAATAAGTGTCGTTTTTATATAATTTAGAAAACCAATAAGAAAGAAAGGGTGGTGGCTGCTCAAGAAATTGCTTGGTGTTTTTCTATCAACTTACTACCTTTACCATGTATCGTTGCTTCCAGACATTGCCTTCTACTTCTTTTTTTTCTTTTTAAAAACATTATGTCCCAAAAAAGTCACTTATTTGATTGCAAATTACAGTTTGTTGTATATATAAAAATAATTTATTAAACACAAAAAAAGTTTTATGCGTGTCAAACTACTGTAATTGGTCTATATAATGAAGAAGGAGCCAAACATTTTTCTTTTGGTTCGACCATTCTTAAACATATTGACATAGAATCATGCTTCGTTGCTGAAAGAAGAGCAACAAGTGCTGCTGAAACCCAATCACAAACGAACAAGTGTCCTATTATAGTTTCTAATTTCAATTATTCAGACACGTGTCCATTTGTGATTGACTTTACAGGAGCACTTGCTGCTCTTCTTTTAGCATCGAAGCATGGTTAATTGACATATGTCTTTTAATTATATACAAGTAGCTTTTAATCAATAATCTTCTCCTAGTCTTGCTCTTATTGGATAAACGTTCCAATGAAATGCTAAATCATGCCAACTAAGCATCTGCAGATAGTTAGGATACGAGGACATAATTAATGTTATCAAACTAACCACTTGTTCAACGCTAATTAAGATTTGATGAACCAAAATTTGAATCCTAATTAAATAATTTAAAACTCCATCTAATCATATACATGCATAAGCCAGCATCACTGTTCGTCTAAGATAAAAAACGATTGTGGATTATTAAAAGTAAAATAAAATCGTTTAATATGTAGGATCCGATTGGCAAATTAGTTGGTTGTGGCTTGCAGAAAAGGGTTACGAGTTCATTTGTGTTAAGTTAAAGGCTCAGATGGGCCCCACTGCCTGCTCTCCTCCAGCCCCTACAATCCCCTTGAGTTTGAGTGCACGGATCCCCATCTCTGTCAAAGAGTATTTTCGGCTGCAATTTAAAAGGCAGGGGCTTTTAGTTTCCATTTATTTGGAATACCGCTACGTGATTTTATTAATCTACTAAATCATGTTAACTGTGTTTGTTTTTTATTAATAAACCTTAAAATATGATATGGTATCAGTGTTGTCCTCTCATATTATATACATGTAAAATAATAATACACTACGTGATAAGTGTGATTAGTGTTCACATTTCTCGAACTTTGAAGTGTTTTATATAAAACTTACTGGTTGACTTTTTTATTTTATTTTATTTATTTTTTTATCTACATCAGAACATTCTTGTTTCTGCTTGGTCCTTAAACAATGTAAACCTGCAATCAATCCTGCAAGCCTGAAACAATTTAGCACATTTAATAGAAAATAACTCATAGCAGAGAGAAGGAAAAAAAGAATGTTGTATGATCAATGAGAAAACAAAATACCGAGAAGAGCTTACCTGCAACTGGGACGCCACTTTAGTTGTAATCCAAACCAATCAAGTATTTAATTGTTTCGGGATACCGTCACAGTTGCATCTAAGTTTTAGGTAATCTTTCCGTAATAGTGGAATGACTATTGGAAGCAACATTTAAGAATTGGGTATTGAATGAGTCTGCTGTTTTGGGTAGATTTCAAGTTTAAAGTGCTGGGCGTTGAATGAGTCCCTGTGGATTAGGTGTGTTCAAATGTTGGTGGTAGTAGGTTTAGGAGGGCAGATGCTTGAGTAAGATAATTTGGCTGTGCTAGGGAAGAAGACATACTTTAGACAACTTGATCAAATTCTGCTACCTAATTTGGCTGTGCTAGGGAGCTAGGTCATGACCAATCTTCCCGAGGGGCTGCATCGAAAGTTCGAAACTATCAACCAAATCAACTCAACACATAAAATTGAATCTTCAATTCAGAATGAGATACATTTGTCGTTAGAGACGAAAATTTCATCACCATTCAAAGTTCTTGTAGTGCAAGTACCGAATACACCTAGATAGTCATAGACGAAAAGTTCTTATGGTGTTCCACGAAATCTCTAGAACATGGGAACTTTCAGAAAACTCAAACAAGAGGCCGGCTACAAAAGCAACTAGATTACCATTTCCATGTCTTTCCACTGTTATCATCTAGAATAGTAGTACCAGTCGCTAACATACCTAAAAATCAGAGAGCAGCATATACCTTTTAATGTACCAACTGATATGACAACGTTCTCAGGCCTTTTCACAACAAGCAGAATGCAGCAAAAACAAGCAGTACTAGGCACTTCAGGTCCCTCTCTTAGCCAAATTCCAGCTAAAAGTAGAAAAAACTTAATTGTACCTGGAAGCTTGTTAAGCTACAGGATGGCTAGAGGAAGTCAATGTTAGCAAACGTCAGCGCTTAAATCAATAAAATTTAAGACAAACAAAGAGATGACAACGGGGTAGGGTTGAATTATGAACTTAACCACTTTAACATCATCATGAAACATAGCCGTCTATATATTGCAAAACACAAAATTGACAAACAAAACCAGATAAACTCTTTGAACCAGTTGGGCAAAACATGGGGAAGAGGCAGGTTGAGCACACATGGTTTGACCTTTTGATGGCCATAAATGATATCTGATAGCAAGGAGATCGATACCAGATTTCACTCTAAACATGCCAAGCTAATATAGGTTGATTTCTCCAATTCACCTGTTTAAATGTCCGGCTAATATACAAAACCAGGACTTCTGTAAACGTTGGCTAACAGATGAGTCAGTTGTTACAAATGTATCTTAAACCAGCAAAGCCAGTGTGAAGTGAAGCATTTTGGTTCAGTATGGAGCACATTAGTTATCAAAGAGTTGTATAGCAAGAAAAAGAATGTCACTTCTTAATGCTTATCTCGTAACGAACTCATTTTACTAAAAGTTCGTGCCATAAACATCTTCAACGAACCTGAATATTTTGTTCTTTCATTACTTAGTGCATCAAGTCCGACCATATCTAACATTGTACGATTAAGGATCACTTGTGCGGATGCATGCTTAATAAAGAGAACTTCGATAAAGATAATAGCTTGGTTCCGATTTCTTGAGCAAATTGTTTTAATATATCGCATTTAAAAGACACGATGACTGCAAAAAATGATGTAACACAATGTGATTCTGTGAACTGCAACTACTTAAAGCAGTCGATTTTCCTAAGTTCTAAACTTCACATTCCAATTGTCACAAACTAAACAACTTCCTACAAAACCATTAGAACTCGGATCATTGCGTGCATTCTTCCACACGCGAAACTAATCCATTCAAATTGAACAATTTAAAACTAAAATTAAACTTGAAAAACACAAATTGGACCCGCTACCACATTTACCTCCACAGCTATATCACAGACCTCTTCTGCTGCACCTTAGCTTTCTCCGCGTCGATAATGGACTCCACCAACTTAACCGCATTGTCCAACCTCCCCTCCGCATTCACCACAACATAATCGAAATTCTTAACATGCTTCACCTCCTCCCTAGCCATGGCAACCCTCACAAGAAGCGACTCCCTTGTCTCGGTTTTTCGATCAATCAGCCTCTCCACAAGCTTGGCCTCACTCTCTGCCATCAAAAATATGAAAACGGCCGAATTCCCAAGAATCTTCCTCAGTGTCTGAGCACCCTGGATGTCGACCCTCAAAACGATGTCGTACCCTTTCCCCAATTCCTCCCTAATCTGCTGTTTGGGGATCCCCTTGTAGTCCCCGTACACCAACGCGTACTCCAGAAGCTCGTTCCTTTCCACCATTGTCAAAAACTCCTCTTTGCTCACAAAGTAGTAATCTTTGCCGTGAACTTCGCCGAGCCGCGTTGGGCGGGTCGTCGCCGTCACCACGAAATGCAAGTTCTCGTTGGAATCCTTGAGCTTTTTTATGACGGCGTCCTTCCCGACGCCGCTGGGGCCGCTGATGACGATGATTAGGGGGCTGGGGCTGGGCCAGAGCGGCTCGGAGCTGAATGCCGAGCCCAGAGAGGCCTCCAGAGCGCGGACGAGCTCGGAGCGGTCGGCTTTTTCGATGTGGGGAATGGGAACCGAATCGGGTCGGCGGGCGTCGCCCATATGGGAGGATAAGGATCGGGTGTTGGGGGGAAGTGAGGGGTTGGGTTTTGGGTAGGGCCGGAGGAGGGAGTTGGGGGTTTGGAGGATTTTGGGGCGGAGGTGGAGGAGGGGAGGAGGGGAGGAGCGAGAGAGAGAGGTGGCGAGGAATCTGCGAAACATTGAGGGAGAGAGAGAAGGTGGGAGTGCACTATACGGGGTTGGGGAAGCAGAACTTGGAATCGAAGCTCAGTGGCTCTGTGGTAATTTTAAATTTTCTCTAAAAGGAGGCCAAAATGGGATTTTATCCTATCTTCTTTACATTCCGTTCGATTCACTCCTCTTACATTTTCTATTTTATCTTTATATTTCTATATATAAAAAATTAATATAAGATATTGACGTGAGTTAATCGTAATCATTCAAATAGAAGAGAAGAAGAGGAGAAAAAGAAAAGAGAAAATTCTAGTCTATGTTTGAAACTCGGTCCTCGGGCGTGGGATAAATGCTTAATACCACTAAAACTAAACATTTCATTATTCGTTTTACCTAGTTGTGAAAAGATTCTTACAACCAACAAGTGATTGATTGAGGGCTTAAATGTGTCTTCGTGTACATACAGTACGACCAATCTATTGTTAACAGAAATAAAGAGTTGCAGACAGAGCATGTATTCAAGAAGAAGAGAGAAAAGGGAATAAGAGAGAGAGAGAGAGAAAGTAATGGATTACATTGATACTCAATTGATCTTTACAACTATGAGAATACAATTTATATAGCCATCATGACTAGCTTGCAACCTAAGCTATTTAACTAACTAATTTGATAACAACCTAACTAACTATTGCTGAGCTGGAATGATATATTCAACATCCCCCCTCAATATCAATTGGGATTTCCAGTTTGAGATTGTATGAGTGCTTGAGAAATGCAGAACAATGAAATCCTTCTTGTTGATGTACTCGTAGCCCTGCTCCCATCATCAATGAATCTTCTGTTCTTGATGATTACAGGTGTCTTCATCAACTCGACTAGAGTTTTATCCCTGCTTTCAACCACAGCAACAAGATTCTGCAGCAATTCATCTCGAGTCTGGTCTCAAGCCATCTCAACTGATATAGCCACCTTAAAACTTCCTCATGATTCTTGACTGTTCAGTGGTGTGTTATCCACAAAATTATCATCCTGAAGTTTGATAGTCAATATTCCCAACAACCCTTCAATCTTGACACTAGTCGCTACACAAACTAATCACTACACACATTGAATCTTTGCAAGAACCCTTCAAACACTTTCTGGCTATCGGCCTTGAAAAAGTAAGTATATGGCTATTGGCCTTGATACTTACAAGATACACAGAAAAATCTTCACTGAGAGATGCACTCCGGCAATCAGCCTTAATGGAGTTGCACACAATAACAACAAACAAGACTTTTCAAGAACGTTACTTCGGCTATCGGCCTTTAAGGAGTAACACACAATATCTGAGACATAATTTTTCACTCCGGCTATCTGCCTTGTGGAGGAAACACATTACATTCAGCACACTCTTGGCAATCGGCCTTTTTCGAGTGCACAAATCTCAAACAAGTAAGAACTACTATCAATTCAATCACACTTTGGCATCGGCCTTTAACAAGTGGATATCACAAACAACTTCACAATTCTATCAATTTATCAATAACGGCTTCGGCCTTGTATTGATCATATACACATGAAACTGACATTTACACAAACACATAGAATGCAAGAACTTCAACCATACACAGAAAACACCATGAAACTTGAACCAGAGAACCCAGATAGCATTGTACAATTTTGACTCCAGAGAACATCTCGCAAGAAATACCTGACTGAAGAAATTACCAAAGATCGCCCTTTTAAACTCCCTGCAATATCGTCACGCAACACCCAGAAACGAAAGCACCAAGAACCATCAGCGAAAGATCTCGCCAATAACCACCAGCGAAAAAATCGTCCATTCGAATCGTCCAAACCTTCTGTGGCAATTGGCCTTTAACAAGGATGATATAGCAGAAAGACTTCAAGATTCAACACTCCGGCAATTGGCTGACACAATTCATCAAACACTTGGAATGCACCGAGTTGATTTCTCCAGAAACACCCATGAACTCGAACAGAAAACTTCAACCAAAGTAGCAAATCTTCATCCAAAGACAACCCACCAAACAGCTGAAGTGCACAGATCTTTTCCCTGTTGAAATACCCAGATTCGAACACCAAGAACAACAAATCGTCCCACACAAATAGAGCAACGTTGCAGAAAACCCAAACTGTAAAGAACACCTCCGACGACACAATGTTGCAGCGGAAAAACGAGAGATCACCAAGGAAAGACCTCCGGCGATGATACCATGTTAACAGAAATAAAGAGTTGCAGACAGAGCATGTATTGAAGAAGAAGAGAGAAAAGGGAATAAGAGAGAGAGAAAGTAATGGATTACATTGATACTCAATTGATCTTTACAACTATGAGAATACAATTTATATAGCCATCATGACTAGCTTGCAGCCTAAGCGATTTAACTAACTAATTTGATAACAACCTAACTAACTATTGCTGAGCTGGAATGATATATTCAACATCTATAAATTTGAAATGTAAAATTCCATTGGAAATGTTCTAAAATCCCAATGAAGGTATGGGCAAATAGCTAATTTCGATTCACAGGACCACAATAAAAACAATAATCCTAACCAATTCAGGTCGTAGCATTTAATGCACGAAGGATAGTATTTTCCAAGTTTTGGCTATTGTTTGCAGAGTGTAAATAGTACTTGATTTTTGAAAAAGCTGTGATTAGCATTGTTAGTGAGCAATGCAAAACAACATAATTGTTGGGGCCTGGATTTCGACATTGTCAAGGGTGAAAGACATAGCTGAGTAGATTCAACTTTTGAATGTTGCGGACTACCATAAAGAAGTCTTCTAAAGGCATCAGACAACCTTAAAGACGACTGCCTTTTAGTATATGTCATGTTGGTGTTGTTGAGACAAAGACAGAAGGACCCCAAAACCAACCATTGCTTGAAAGCGTTCAGTCGGAAGAGCTACCAATTAATGCCGGTGATGCGAAGGTAGTGCAAGGGTTGTCCTAGACGCAGACTGGCCTATCAATTAGATATATAGCATGAAACAACAACCCTAGCTAATTGCCCTCCGGGGAAAGAACAATTCCAAATTCATTCTTCCTTCAAAATTAAAAAAATATTTCCATATGAGAAAATGAGTGTCGAATGTTGTTTGGTATTCAAGCAGTACTTCACGTGTCATAAAAGAAGTAGGGGGATTCATAAAAATATAACATTTTCTCCACTTGTATTATGAAATGTGGAATACCGCTTGAATACCTAGGACTTAGAAAAATGTGATGCTAGAAAGGCTATCTACTTGAATCATATTTTATAGACCAGATTATGTGGCAGTTGATTGTTGGGTTCTTTTGATTAAATCACTATAGAAATGAGGGTGATGCTAAAGAGATTATCTACTTGAAGTCTTGGACCATATTTTGTAGACCATATGAAGTGGCAGTTGATACTTGACTTCACTGTTATTTCATTAATGAAGGAATCCAACTATGAACCGCCACATCAAGTGGTATAAAAACATGGTCTCTCTTAAAGGTGGGCATACGGGTCTTGGAACTCGTGGATTCGAAGCGTATTATTCGACCTGATATAAAATCATCTGGTTCTTACTATTAATTTTCAAAACCGTACGAGCTGGACTCGGTTTGTGTAAAACCAGTCCATATTTCTTATGTGAAAGCAAATTTGGTCCAATCTGTTCAAAGATTGTCTTAGAACTTTGTCATTTTATTAGTAGTTCGGGATGAAACCCATGATCGATAATTCCATATATATCAAAGTAAAACAACGATCAAACTTCTTTCTTCAGAAGATTTGTTGGTATTGACTTTATAGATGTAATTATTTCCCAACCAAAAATTATTGTTTTATTATACGACATATTATTAAAAACATATATGTTCGATCCATAAGAACTTGGTCGTATCAAACGGATTCAAATGAGTTGATTCTACTTATAAAAAAAACATAAACCTAAATTGATTCAGGCTCGTTTGAAAAAGAAATTCAAATCCAAATCCACCAAAAATAAATCCGACCCGATCCGTGTCCACCAATCCTCTCTCTCGTATTTTTCCTTAAAAAAAATCTCCTCCGAAATACAAAATATTCCACATTTAATTACTTACAATGTGTGATGTATGTTTTTTGGCAGGCGTCGTCCTGTTTCATATAAACTCCCACCTCATTTCAACCATATAAAAACTTTTACCCCACAATATCAGAATCAAACATTAATCTCACCACCATCCACCGCCAATCCACCACGAATCCACATCACCACCACCGCCATCACCGCCGCCCACCAATTCAGTTCTCTCCCTCCAACCCTTCAAATTCTCTGGACCACCAAATTCAACCCCAAAACCCCCCAATTCCCCCAATTTAACACCCCAATCCTCGATCAAAACCCTAATTCTAAATCCAATCCAACGGGCCAATTCAATCCAACCCTCTTCACAATTCCCACCCCGAGAAGCCCCAGAACATCAAAATCGGTCCTTTCCGCGCCACCAGCCAGTAATTGTTAATGGACAGAATCAGGGTCCCAAATGAAGCATTAAAGCCCAGCTCATCCCCGCCGCCGCTGGCTCCGCCGGTCACGTGCTCGACGTCGTGCACGGAGACCGTAAATGGGTGCCACGAGTTTAAGATCAGTGGGTACTCGCTCGCCAAGGGCATGGGAATCGGCAAATACGTCGCCTCCGATTCGTTTGTGGTCGGTGGTTATACATGGGCTATATATTTCTACCCGGATGGCAAGAGCGTCGAGGACAATGCTGGTTACGTGTCGGTGTTCATAGCTCTGGCGAGCGAGGGCACCGATGTCAGGGCTCTGTTCGAATTGACGCTTTTGGATCAGAGCGAGAGGCAACGGCACAAGGTGCATAGCCATTTTCTGAGGATGCTCGATGGCGGTCCTTATACGCTTAAATACCGGGGAAGCATGTGGTATGTATTCTGAAATTACTGTTTTGATGTATAATTTTGTATAAGTTGTATGTGTATATGTGTGTATTGGATTCTGATTGGATATTGTATGTATAAAAAGTGCGAAACTTTTCGTTGAATAGGTTTAGCTTATGATGATAGGGTGTGTCTTTGATATGAAATGTTGTTGGTTTGAAGTTTAATCATTTTAGTTCGACTTTGA